CGCATGTGTTATAATAGAGGGAAAAGAATTATTTTACAATGTCAATAGCCTACCTTTGGAAATTATATACACATAAATTTATCCATCATCGCGATCTTTTGTCTCCGTATTTAATTAATTGAGTTGCCAAGGGCAACTAGGACCGCCTTTTTATATTCTTCAATCTTTTAACTGTAGCTATAAAGCGATGACGGTAAGAGAAAATAGAATATATTTGCACATTGCAATCTGCTGTTGGATATTAGTTCAAACTAGAAATTAGTAGTTTCTAAGTATCATGAAAGTCTTCCTTATCGTTCCAATTTCGGATAAACTTGGGTAAAAGAAGCTTCTACGTAACTTAAAATTGCTGACACTGGACAAGATGGTAAGGATACAATTAAAACCATAGGCTCACTTAAATCATAACTAAACAAGAAACATAGTACGATAATTATAAGGGCAACATGTTAAGATGGTTTAGCTTGATTATGATAATCCAAGACTATTGGATTGCTACTAGAGATATATTTGCCTTTTTACATGCTTTAAAAGAATGAATTGTTATTTCTTTCTACTCTAATTTGTGGTTTACCGATTATAGACAACTTAAAAAACTCCGGTAACTTTACTCTCGTCTATTTACGTTTGCATGTGTCTTATTTCGCGTTTTGAAGAGAAATTACACTTTACACGTTACGTACTTGCTGCCGGTGATTATTGCATTAAAAATTTATCGTTTAGTGTAATGAATTTCCCTTTTATTGTTTGCAAGGAAATATAAAAAACTTGTTAGAACTAAATCTTTTGAAGAAACTGCAATGCAGAATAATTCGATATTAATTCAAGATTTAACTAATTGATTACATGCTAAAATCACATGTTTACTTCCTCATTTTCGAATCTCCTGCGTGAGATTTTGCGAATTAACCTCTCAAAAGATATATCACAGAAAAATGACTTGAAATTATCATGAACCATTCCGTTAGTACTGATTCGAAAGCTATCAGATACAAATTAATCATTATTGCTTTCAGGTAGTATACTATAGGTGATTTATCTAGTGAGAAATTGCTAAAGCAGCCGAATTTTTTATTATATAAACTGTACTGAATAGCTGTTATATTTCATCATAATAGCTTAAATGAAAATAGGTGTAGATACTCGAAAGTAAGCTCAGCATATGCCTCTAACTCGATCGCTGATGATCAGATTGAGATCTAACAATATACGATCTCATTTACTATTTATTTCTGTAATAAATATTTACTTCTTTATAATCGATTTAGCTTGTTAAATAATTTGTAAAAATAACAATTAACAATTCTAATACAGGAGTAGAATTTGCTTCTAAGCATAAATTTACGAAATATAATATTAAATACGAAAATAATCTAGCACATTATATTCTTTGATAAGTAAAGAGGGTTCTTGGTCTAATTCTAGAATCCTCTACTCACTCAATGACCTGATATAGCTCTTTTTAAATACTAAAAAGAACAATTATCATCGTACTTTATAATGCTAAATTGTATGTACCCTTCAAACAACATAGCATTTTCTTTCGATAGAATGAAGGTTGTGTAATTTATATATTACATTAGTGGCATGAAAAATGCAATAAATACATCTTTGAATCACAGAATAGCCATGCAGTAATCGATCAAATACGTTATTTTCCAATTCAAATCTGAAAGTCGATGCTAATATATTACGATCATATATAGATAATTGACCAGTTACTTTAGCAAGATTCATAAACTTTAACCATTTTTCTCCTACTTATCAAATAGCTCGTTCATTGATTGTAAGAATTTCATAAAGACCTAAACTTGTTAGTTTTACGATGAATTAACATCTTAAGGATTATATTATGTTACAGATTGGATATAATTAATAATACTTAAAGTGTTGGAGCTAAGTTATCCGAATTGGAAGTTTAACAGATATTCGGGAGGGATTATTGTAGAATCATTATTGACCTACACATTGCGGATAAGACAGATAAAGAATCTTACAGTTGATGACTTATTCTATGTTGCCAATGTAAAGTTTACACTTTTAAAATATCTGTACTTCTAATACCAAACCTCAGACAGGCCTACTTTAGTACTGGCTGAAATCAATCGAGAATCATGACTGGAAATACAGTAATAATCGTACATATGATGTCCCCACCATATCGTAATAATAATCGATGATTCTAATAATATCTTTTATTTTCAGCTATGTCTAGGTGAGCCAAATTAGTAGACAGAAATTCACATAGAGCTAGCCAATATCTTTCAACTCTTCTCTTTTGGTTATTTCTGAATATGTGAAAAAGGGAAATAGTTCAAATAATTTGTGATGCATCTGTTTAGAAGATCGCTCTTGCAGTCAACAGAAAGTACCGCAAGTACGACAATTAGTGGGCTAACTGTGACTACGACTAATTCATCTTTCGGTAATTTTCCACTTTGGCTTATCCCTTTAATTCCTATCGGATTTATTTTGATTTATGGAGTAGTAGTTGTTATAATTGCCCACAAAAGGCAACAATTAAATATGAGGATTATACCTACTCTAACGAGATCGGGTCATACAAGGCAAAGTATACAAGGACAATCATCCTCACCACTAACCGAGACCGAAATTGAGCTTCAAGATGCTTTAAATAAGATTCACAGATTGAAAGGACAAGAACAAAACTTAAATAAGCAAATATCATCCATTACAAGACAAATTGTTAAGACTAGAACGCAAGCAGAAAAGTCTAAAAATGATCTTGCACATGAGAAACGATTACGTGAAAAAGCAGAAAGTTTAATTGAAGGCGCTAGACAACAAGCAAAGAAAGAAATTTACGCAAAACTTAGTGTCGAAGCTAATCGTCGTGACATTGCTCATAAGCTAAGCAATTTAAAGCAACAAAATGAACAATTAAACAAGCAGCTAAACGCTAGCAAAGCAGAAGTGCAAGAAAAGCTAAAAGAAATTGAGCGCATCCGAGTGGAATATGCAGCTGAGCAAAAATCTCGTCA